CCGTTGCGGCTATTGCAAGGACGAGTCGGGCAGTCGTCCAATGGTGAGCGGGCCGGGCTGGCGGGCGGGGAAGGGCGTCGCGTCCTCGGGGGCTCCGCGGCGGGCCGGCAGCTTCGGGGGTGGCGGCGCCTCGGGCGGACTGGCCGGAGGGACGCGCCCAGGAGGGAGTCCCGGCCCAGCCCCTGTCAAGTGGAGCGAGTGCCGAACGAACGCGGCTCTCCGGAGAGTGGCGTGGCTGTCAAAAATAAAAACGGATCTCACCTCTGATTCATCAGGGAAGCTTCTGGAGGCTTATTCTTCACACAGGTGCTCAGACGTGCGAGCTAATGATTGTCTCGCAGGAGCCGAGTGTGGAAACAGGTGTCCATCGTCAGTAGGATGGTGGGGTACGTGATGGCACGCCTGACGGGGAGCGCTGTGATGTGGTCAGTTACGGGGGCTCACCTGTAAGTGCTGATGGTGATGTGGGAGGATCCCGGTAGTAAGTGCGGAAGGCGAGGTGCAGGACAGTGAGTGACGGTCGTGCTGTTTGTGAAGAAAACGGTGTGTGTGGAAAACACACGTGCGTGGGCATCCACGGAGGACATGTCTCTGGGAGAATGTAACAGGGAGCTGGTGACCGGAGTCGCTGCTGGCGAGGGGCCCTGTTTGTACTGATGTGTGAAAATTGTTCCAGTTGTTTGTGTGCCATGTCATTTCTCCACCCCCCTCGATGACAACAAAGCCAGCCTACAGTACCCCTCACCCCCAGTCACGACTCAGGTTTCTTTCGGAAGGTTTTTTGGTTTGTAGACAACATCATGTTTGTCTCTTGCCTTGTCATGCTTTGGCAACAGTAGAAACTCTTATTTTGAAGAATAGTGTGGCATTGTGGAAAAATGGGATATTTACGAAGGTGTAAATTTGGGTGATTTCCGTATTAAAAAAAATTCTACCCTACAGTAAGGGAATGATTTGGGTGATTATGGTGTGTCCATCTACTCATTGTTTACTAGGTGCTTCTTGTGGGGGAGACGGAGTAGAATGTAGTATAATGCAAACATTAGGAGTGACGATTATGAAGATGAGTTAAGTGGAAAAAACATTTAGAGTGGTGGGATAAACGGAGAAAATAAGCAGGATGGAAATAATGTCTGTGGCATGATTACAGGTCTGGGAGGAAAAAAAAAACCCAGCAGAAGCACACGAAATGGTGACAGTGATTGCGTTAAGGTTATTAGCGATTCCTCCCTTCTCTCTCGCAGAATTTTAGAATTGTGATTATAGTATATATGTAAGAAATAATTGATATTAAACCTGCCTGAAGTTAATATTTAATAGATCCTTAATTATCTTTTTCTCGTAATTTTATTAAGAGAAAAACCGATTAACATAGATATCCTTTGTTTAAAGTTCTATGGAAACAAATCTGCTTTCGACCTTTTCGCCTAAAGAGAGAACTGTAAAAATTTCTACCTCGATTTTGATTTTAATAATACAGGGCGCCCCATCTATCGGGTAGGTAGGTTTTATTATTCCTATTTCACAGAAGAGGAAGTTGAGCTTCAGAGTAACTTGGTGTTAATGAGCGCCCGCCAGGCTTCTGGACATTTCTGCTGTGCTTGAGCACCCATACTTTCCTCACATCCTTCTTTCTCGAGCCTGTCTCTGTCTTTACATACGTCTGTTGCAGTTTACTGTTTACAAGGGTAAAATTCATTTTTCTTTTAACAATAACTCAATGTTTTCTTAGTCTTTATTTTTTTTCCTGGTTGCATAATTATTTCATCATATTGATAATACCACAGTCCCAGTAGTCACTTTTCTGTTCCTAGGCATTTGGATTTGTTTCAGGTTTTATACTTAAAAGGAATATTATATGTATAGTTTTGTCCTGTTTTCAATATATGAGACTGTTCTGTAAACACATGTGAAAACCAGGAGAACTTATTTGCTTTCTAATTCTTCTGAAAAGACCAGCTTATTAAATTATGTGGGATAATATTATGGTTTAAAGGTGTGATGTAATTTGATTGCAGTGAGGACCTAAAATTATAATGTCATAGAGACTATTGACTAATCCTGAACTGAGTGTGATCACTTAATTTTAAAAATTAGGATAACCTTGATACATCTTGTATTTCATTTGTATTGTGTATTTTGTCAGACTAACAAGTATGCAGTATGTGCAGACTTTCATTTCTCTCCTGTGAGCTAGATATATTTTTTGCTTCAGTATTCACATTTTAAAAATCATGTGAGTTTAGAAAAGTGAGAAGTTCCACCTGCTGTAATAACATGGCACTTATTTTTTCAGGCATGTGGGCACATTCCATGACTGTTCAGGATTATCAGGATCTCATAGACCGAGGATGGCGAAGGTAAAGGTCCTTGATGCAAAGATACTTCTGATATTCCTCAGGTTCTTCTCATGATTGAACAATATTGTTTGCCTTTAAAATATTTTCCTGTTGTTGAAAAGAGATTTAAAAGAATTTTTATTACATTCTGTTGTGTAGAGATTTGGTTCTCGTTTTTAGGATGTTTATAAGGAAAATTTGACAAATGTGGAGAGTACATTATAGTGAACCTCATATACCTATCACCAGGTTAACATTTTGCCAGTCTTGTTTCATCAGTTTTCCTTGCTCCCTGCAACGTACTGAATGTTGGTGTTCCCGCCAAAGTTCGTATGTTAAATCCTAACTCCCAATGTGATGGTATTTGGAGGTGTGGCCTTTGGGAGGCGATTAGGTCCTGAAGATGGAACCCTGATAAATGAGATTAGAGCCCTTATAACAGACCACAGAGCTCTCCCTTGTCCCTTCTGGCACGTGAGGACACAACAAAACGATGAACCAGAAGGCTTGTCTCCACCTGACAACAAATCTGGCACCTTGATCTTGGACTTCCCAGCCTCTAGAACTATGAGGAGTAAATTTCTGTTGTTTATAAGCCACTCAGTCTATGGCATTTTGTTACGGCAGCCCCAGTGGAATAAGATACCTCCCCACTCCCCCCACAAAATTATTTAAAGCAAATTTCAGATATCATGTCATTATAGCTGTACTAAATATGTGTTTCTAAGAGGGAAGGATTTTTTTCTTAACATATCCAGAACACCACTGCCATACTTTACAAATTTAGTAATCATTATTTGATGTCACCTGTTACCTAGTTTTGATTAGATTTTCTGCTTGTCTCAAACATTTTCTTTCTCCCCCCATTGGTTAATTTGAATCAGGGTTCCCTTAAGGTCCACACATTGCTTTTGGTGGCTAAGATTTTTTGGTAGTTATTTTTATGTAGATGATTTTAGAATAACTATTAGGTGAAGTTCCTTACATAAACGTGAGCAGCATTAAGTGCCCTGTGCCACTACTCCCCAGAAGACATGGGCTTGAGCACAGCACATGAAGCTTCGCAGCTTTCTTCGAAAGGTAGATAAATATAGTCACATGTTCAAAGACTGCCATGATAAGGAACTTTTTTTTTTTAAAGGTACAGGGAAGGTACTGAAGGCTCTTATGTCAGAAGTTTGATGGAATTTGTGATTTGGAAGTGATCATTCAGATAGCAGAAAGGTATCTGAGGGGGCGATTCTGAAAGCTGGAAGACGAGTTCCAGAGGTGATTGCAGTATCCAGATGTGAGATGGTGAGGACCACTGTCGTCGTCAGGAGCAGTGGCTGTAGATTAGGAGATAGATTGGGGGAATAGACTTACGAGACATTTTAGAAGTGGCGCACTTGCTGTCAGGATAGGGAGGTGCATTAGAGGGAAGAATGTGGGAGGACCCCCAGGAGCCTGGCTCGGGAACTGAACTCATGTCTTTACTGGGGCAGCCATAACGAAATACCACAGATCAGGCAGCTTACGCTAGAGGAATTTATTTTCTCATGGTTCTGGAGGCTGGAAGTCCAAAATCAAGATGTCCACAGCTTTGGTTTCTCCTGAGGCCTCTCTCCTTGGCTTGCACCTGGCTGCTGCCTTGCTGTGCCCTCATGTAGTACTTTCTCTGTGCATTTGCATCCCCTGTGTTTAGTGTCTCTCTTTATGTCCAGTTTCCTTTTCCTATATGGACAGCAGTCAGATTGGATTAGGGCGCATCCTAACAGCTTCATTTTAAACCTAATCACCTCTTGCAAGGCCTTTTCTCCAAATACAGTCACACTCTGAGGTGCTAGTGATCAGGACTTCAACATAATGCATTTTGAGGGGACAAACTTAAGGTCATAATATCATGACTGCATTAACTGAGATCCAGAAAGCATGGAAGGGATCAGATTGGTTTGGGGGTACATTGTGCTTGCACATGGAACCCCCAAGTGTGGATGGAGTAGGCAGCAGCACACATCAGTCCCACAGCATCCTGGGCAGTTTTCTCTGCCCTTTCCAGTGATGAGGGAGATGGTAGCGTCGAGGCATGGAAGGGATTGCAGATGCTGAAAAGAGGGTAATTGAGATCATTACCCGTGGGGTACACGTGTAAAGGTTTAGAAAAGAAAAAGCTACTGTGGCCCTTCGTACACCCACATTGCAGTGTTGGTTAGCTTATGAGGAGTAACTAAGCCTAAATGCATTTTTAAGTGTTAATTAGATTTTACCCGGTTTTTGTTTACCTGTTGGTTAGATTTTTCCTTAGATTTTTGTACCCCTGTACTAATCTACTTGGCTACATTTGAGAAATTTGTATGAAATTAACAAAACTATTTTATAATTTTAGAAGCGGAAAATACATGTACAAACCTGTCATGAACCAAACTTGTTGTCCTCAGTACACAATAAGGTAAGAATTTTGATTACTAGAATTCTGTTATGAAGATTGTGTATAATTTTTTTGGTAGAATCTTGCTTTTTTCTAAATGTTTATTTCTATTCTAGGTAGACATTCTTTATAAAGGAAGGCAAATGAGTTGTGTTTTTCCTGCATACTGATGCTATATTCATGTGCCGATCAATAGTTTTTAATAATAATGTTGGATTGTTCAGATATAAATATGATATGAAAAAATATACTGTTTAGCAATCTAGACAATAATACATGAAATATTGGGAGAATATTGGTAAATACTTAACTTACTTTTAGATACTAAATTTTTATAGGTTTTAGCTTAGGGTTTTCCACATTCTAGTGTACTGCTCGGCACAGTGATTTTATTCAAGCAGTGTCGTAGGGTCCTGTGTGAGGAGGAGGGCTGACGCTTAACCCGTATATATTCAGTCTTGTTTTTGTCATTGGAAAACTTAATCTAAAAAGTCTTTTTTCTTTTCCTATAAAGTGTTTGCTTGCTTGATTTTATATAATCTTTTGTCTTTCCCCGTGCCCCTCTTCCTCTACCCTAACGTGGAAGGGTTTTTCCTTCTCTGATTGTAAAGGTCTTTCTCTTCTCCCTCATCCTCCTCCCCATTCCCCCTTTCGCCTTCTGGTAGAAAATAGGGAAAGTACGTAAACATTGTAAAGTGCGTCTGCAGTTCGGTGTGTGTGTATGTACTCTGAATAAAAATGCAAACGCAGTTGTGTCCATCACGCTTGGCTTGTCCTCACAGCTGTCTCCCTTAGTTGCTCTTAACCTGTTTTGGAATTAAAGACTATTTTGAGAATTTGATGAAAGTTACAGACCCTCTCTGCAACAAAACAGTACAGTAAGAGAGGAGGCATATAGACAAAAATATGTAACATTTTACGCAGTAATTTTAGGATGATCACTGACTTTCAGAATGCCGCTGATTACTGGTTAAGAATCCTTTCTCTTATCTCACTGGTCATAGGCCTGGTACAATAAAGAGAAAAGATGGATGTCTGGTTTGCTGACAGTATCTCATGTAGTTTAAAATGACAGAGTAGCTCCTTCAGCTTTAATGGTTATGAAGTGGTGGCATCTTCAAAGGCACAAGTCATTTTGCTTCAGATAGCAGTTTATTATTGGAATATGGCTAAGATTCTGTTCAAATAAGTGTCAGGACTGAATTCTGAGAATCTTTAATCAGAAAAGGTCAATTTTAGTGGGTGAAAGGAAAAAGGTAAAAGCTTCTATAATTTATTGGGTGCCTGTCTCATACAAAGCACTAAAGGATTTGGTTAACATTGTAAAACAAAATAATTATAAAGTGTGAATTTTTCTTTGCATTTTATAATTTTGCATGGAATCAAACATTTCCTGAATTGTTATCCTTTACATAACTTCAGTGTTTATATCGATCTTATGGAGTCATTTTGCATATTTATTCTTTTGATTATACTACAGTGAGGCCTTATGAGGCATTATGTAAAGGCAAGGCGGTCTAGCCTACAACTTGGCTTCTTGTGAGGCAGACCCGGGGGCCTGCCCATATGTGAGCCTGAATGAGGATGAACCTTCCTGGCTATGAATTTTTGCTTTTTTTTTTTTAGTTTTATTTTTTAACAGTATTATGTCTGCTAATAATTTAAAGAATCAAATAGTTCCGTAAAGCTTATTTTGCAAAATAGCAATCCTCTGAATCCCCCATCCAATTTTTTGTTTCCCAGTGCAGTCACTTTCAAATCTCTTAACTGATTCTGTCTTTAAGTAACATGCTTATATAATTATAATGCTTGATTTTTAAAATTGGCTTTCCCTATTATCTCTGGGCTTCTCTCTTTGAAAGACAGAGGTTTAACTTTATTTCACCCCTACCCCACTGTCACGTTCAAGCTCGTGTTTGTTTATTTGTCCTCATCCCCAGCTTCCAAATACTGTCCTTTTGGATAGATGTAGTCACGTCATTATGCCTGCGTAAACAGGCCTCACAGCTCAGCTGCGTAGTATTCCATGATTGCTTTTCCTTTCCTGCACAAGTTTTTACTTTCCCTGGAGTTGATCGTTGCTACTTTTAGTTCCATTGTTTTCTAGGTACTTCCATCGGTATAAATTTCCTCTTGGTGTGTTTAGATGCTTTTTACTCGTACCATTTTTATCTTCTTGAAGAAGATCTCTTGTGGAGTCTTCTGACCTGCTCTCGTCTGGACAGGTCGTCTGTACCCCTTGTTTGTCACTGTCATCCTGTTATCTCTTTAACTGTCATCCTGAGGATTCTCTTTGGGTCTTGAGTTGGATTCTGTCTCCTCTACCCTCTTTCTTGTATTATCCCCTCATTTTAGTGAAGCATATCTTCTAATAGCTTCCTGAGAAAAAAATGCATGAGGTGAATTTTTTGAGACTGTGTGTGTCTGAAAATGTGTTTGTTCACTATTCAAACTTAACTTAAAATTTGGCTGGGTATAGAAGTGTAGATTGAAAATAATTTTCCTTAAGAATTTTGAAAGCTTTGCTCCGTTGTTAGGGAGTCCAGTGTTGAGAAGTCCCAGTGGCATTCTGATTCTTATTCCTTTGTCCACAATGTACTTTTCCTCTTGGGAGGTTTTTTGGTCTTCAGTGTTCTGATATTTCATAATATATTTGGCACTGTGTTTTCATTCATTGCATACAGACTTCAATGTAGGGGCTCCTCCCATCATGTCCTTCAGTTCAGAGAAATTTTCTTTTTTCGGTCGATCTTCTCTTTTCCCTTTTCCTTATCTCTTCTATAATGTCTTTATTCAGACATTGGACTTTTTAGACTGGTACTCTAATTTTCTTTTCAGTTTTCCACATCTTTTGGGAGATTTCCTCAACTTAATTTTCCAAATCTTCTGTCTTCTGTTTAACTTGTTATTCTATTCTATTTTACTTCTAAGAGGGATTTTTGTTCTTGGACTCTTAAATTTTTTAGACTCCCTTCTTCCTGTGTACTCTTTATCCATAGCCTCCAAATTGCTTTCCCCAATTTTTTTGCACCTATCTTTGTATTAGATGCCCTCCTCAAGTGTCTGGTGATTCCAGCTTTCCAGTGTCCCCACTGGAAATTTTACCTACTCTGTTGGGCCTTGTTTACTGTGGGCTTTAAGTAGGGTGATCTGGCTAGGCTGCTCTCTGGAAGAATCCCTGATGTCAGTATTTTAAGGTCTGATCACATTCTGGAGAGAAAGTACCATCTGCTGATGTTCGAGCTGGATCAGGGAGTGGGTTGGAGGTCTCAACATTCAGCATGTAGACTTCTGTTGAAGCTTAGTGTTTCCAGTGCAGTCCATTGCTTTCATCTGTGCCTGTATCCCTCATATAAGAGACCTTATTTTTACTCTTTCTTAAACGTTTGCCGTTTTCTTCTGGGTTGTGTAGAGAGTCATTTGTGTAAAATGTGGGAGACTGTCATATATGTAACTGCTTCCAAAACAGACTTTCAAGGGATCTTCTTATTCTTAGACTCACTTTCACTCTTATCCTCTGAGGTATCAGGTATCACCAATTCTTAAGACTTTTAGGGGTAATGTAGAGAAAATTGGATAACCTCTGGCTTAGGATTCAGCTTTCTTTGGTCTGCTGAGTCAGTGAGCACTGTGCATCGGCTTTCTGGTTTCCAGCATTTCTCCTATTCGTTTTTCCCTAGTGGTTTATGTCTTTTCCCTTTTTAAAATAATCTCTTAACTGTAGTTTAGTGAGATGTGGGGTGGGATTAGAGGCTACATTAAGCTCTGTCTTTACCCAGAAATCTCAGGCATGAACTTGGCCTCATTGTAGTACTATGCAGAAGTGATTTGATTTCTTCAAAATTTGAGTTAACCTTTTAAATATTTATTTTGCTTTCCTAGGTGCCGACCTTTACAGTTTCAGCCATCAAAATCTCACAAGAAGGTTTTGAAAAAAATGTTGAAATTTCTGGCTAAAGGGGAAATTTCAAAAGGACATTGTGAGGGTAAGATGAGATGGGGTCTAAAAACAGTTTACTTGAAATTGATTTTTCTTTCCGAGGTTCTTAGTTTCAGTCATTTCTTAGGAGGGGGAAGGGGTCCCACTATAATCAGACACTGCTGTTACTGTGATGATGATGGCTGCTCTTAGCCCTGCTGTCACTGTTACCACTGGCCCCTAAATCAAGGATATGGGGAGTATATGCCAGGGAAAGTCTAGTTTGGGAAGAAGAGAGGACCACTTTAAAGATGTGATTTCCTGGAGTTTATTGAAATTTTAGTTTTCACGATTCTTTGAGAACTGTTAATTTTATTTGATCCTTAATAGGCTTGTGAATTAAATAGAAAGAGGCAGTATCCCTAGAGAGATATAGATGCTTACATGCAACTCACACAAGATTGCATGACCACTTACAGTGCTGAGTAAAGCTCAGCTTTTCCGTGCTTGAGGAAGGTCTTCAGTAAATTATATTGCCTGAAATTGTTTCTTATTTTCTGATAAATTTTGAATTGTAAATTTTCCTTAAAGGTAATTAGTAACATTTAATTTACTTGGGTTACAGATACTTTGCTTTTTCAGTTTTTTCAGAGTTTTTGTTGCTTTTTTTTTTTTTTAAATTTCCTATAGGCACTGCCTAATACGTGACCATAAAAATTGGGAATACCGCCCATTCCTAGAGCTCTTTCTCATTTTGCTGTAGAAAATGCCTAATCCTGGGAGCCTCCCACCCCAGTCTTAGGTTGTTAATCTGTTCCCCAAGTATGTTTTGAATGCCTACAATGTCCTAGTACCTCTTTTAAGCACTGGAGGTACAGTGGCCAACAGGACAGGTAAGTTTTTTGCCCTTGTGCACTGTCCTTAACAGACCAGAATTCAGAACAACTTGGAGCAGACTTGGCAGAGCTGGGGACAACAAAGAGGCTGGAGGGCTCTAGGTCATATTGGAAACATCAGAATTTTGGTATAGCTCTGTTTAGTAATGTTGATGTATAACCTTAAAGGTGAAACGGATTTTCTTGGTTAGTTAGTATACAGTTTTTTTCAGTGACCAGGAATCATCCTCTGAATTTCAAAAATTAATATTCAGATTTTGAGGATGCTACCC